CATATGGGTGTTTCTTGAAAAAAATGTAGCATGTAAAGTATAAGTGAATTCATATGTATAAGTATTATACAAAAATAGAAGAAAAATGTTCTGGAACAAAATATATCTCTGCTATCTATAATGGGTTTGACAATGATTTTTTCACATGCCTCACACACTTTCAAATAAATGTACTGATATAATTCTTTCATTCTGTGCATGCCGAAATAATTTAAATTCCATTTTAAATAATAATGTCACAATCCATAGGCAGTAAATTTATAGTTTTAAAGCAGTTTTTTTTATTTTCTGTTGTAAAAACAATTCTTTGCTGTTTCAAACTAAGTTTTTTCAGTTATTTTATATTGTAAAAACCACACAACCAAAGCACCATCTGTCAAAACCACAGTACCATTTATCAAAACCACAGCACCAATTATTAAAACCACATCACCATTTATCAAAACCACATCACCATTTATCAAAACCACATCACCATTTATCAAAACCCACAAAACCACATCACCATTTATCAAAACCGAGCCACCATATTTCAAAACCACATCACCATTTATCAAAACCACATCACCATTTATCAAAACCGAGCCACCATATTTCAAAACGACAGCACCATTTATCCAAATTACAGCACAATTTATCAAAAGGACATCACCACTTTAGAAATATAAGGCAGCTATGGCGTTCCATAGGGAAGTGCGGCGGAAGTTGACAAAAAGCACATTTCTCAGTGTATAATTGTTCTCGTATTTACACAAAATAGTTTTACATAAAATATGAATATGGAATTCGTATCTGCATTATTCAATTGTTTATATTATCAGAATGCATTGGTTTAATCAACTTCTGGTTGATGTTGCAGTCCCTCTCTTATTCTGTATAAAACCATGAATTATTTCAAAAATGAAAATAATCGAAACTGAAACCATTTAATATATAACTTTGTACGGGCCATCTAAAGATCAAGATATTTTTAAGTTCGGCCAACTTGGTCATTTTCCGTATGATAAATGTTGTATTCGGTGAACGTCGTCACTTTCCGGATGATAAATTTTGAACTTGGCTTCTATGATAAATTTTGAATCCGGTGAACTTCGTCATTTTCCGTATGAGACATTTTTTTCGTCAAAAGTAGAATAAAATATTTACCATTCCGGTCAACTTCATCGTTCACCGTTAATATGTTATTAAATTATGACTACTTTAATTCAATTTTGTCAACTTCGCCTCTTTCCGTATACATTGTTTTCAACTTCTGTCAACTTCGCCTGTTTCCGTTTTGGATAATTCTAAAAATTGTTTTAGTTCGATTGTGTAAGTTTGGTTTAAACATTTTTATTTAAGCTCGATTGTGAAACAAGTTCTTGCACTTTATATTAATCACTTTCGAGTCCGTTTTCTTGACCAACTGTACTGGTGTCTTATGAAGAAACATGGTCGTGACCCATGGGCTCGAACCCATGATCCCCTGTGTTGAGAGACAGACACCTTACCCACTAGGCTACCGCTCTCCTTAATTATGTAGGAAGCTTTAAGCTTATATTCACACTCTTAAATCCGCCCCTGGAACCAACCAGTTCTGAGCAATGAGATTTTCTTGCTTAAGGAAACAACGGCTCGCCCGTTATGGGGTTTGAACCCAGGCGGATGGCGGCCCTCAGAATACTAGTCCTATGCGTTAACCGGCCGGTCACGCGTTTGATTATGACCCTGTTTTACGTGATGGTCTGTAGCAAAATCTACATTGTTGTTAATCATGTACATACATGTTTATATTGCGATATTCACAATTTTCAATTCTTAAGGAACACCAGAGACTTCTACATTATATTTTGTATGAATACAATACTATAATAGTTACACTGTTGCTGAGTTTCAGTGAATGAAATTCCGGTTTCTCCTTTCTATTATGGTTCTCATATAATTACGCCGGACAACAGTCAACGCTTCCGTTTTCAATCAGAGTACATCGGTTTTTATCGTTATCTTGTAATTCGAAAAGTTGCGATGTGTCATTTTGGTACTTCGGACGAAAGTTTTCAAAACCAACACCTAGCAGGTACTCGCGTTACCGTAAAGCTCGCTTTGCGAGCAGGCCGCTCGTCGAGCTCGCTATAAATACGACGCACTTATTTTACGGGAGAACACTCCCGGTTTAGCAATGACTTTCTTCCGGTTTAGGAATTACTTTCTCCCTGTTTGTGAATTATTTTCTAAAAGATCGTCTAGATGTAGAATCTTTCTTAAAATACACGCACATTAGACTCAGTGTTGCTTTTTTATGAAATGCTATAATTTACAGTATAACTTGACAGGTGCGGAACTTAATTTCCCCTAAGGTCATTCAGTTCACTGATGAAGCGTAAAAAAATAGATGTCAATTTCGTCATTAGAATATTTGACAAGGGTGATTAACCAATCAGGGCAACATTGTGCATGATCAAAAGGTCTGTCGATCGGCACAGAGGCATACAAGGAGCAATAAAAATCGTCAGTACACAGTGTGACAGGAACATTTATTGCAAATTAGGAACAATTAAAATGAATAATGCACAGTATTAGGAACCAGCAATTGTGTGAATAAATTATGCAAATTAGATTTTTGAGCAGCCAATAAAAATGTTTTGCCTGCAGTTAATATTAGGCTACGATTACAAAGTAAATAAATGCCACGCAGCATCATACGTTGACAGACATGTTAACAATTTACTTTTCAAAATAGTTGCTTATATTTTTGAAATGTGTACATCAATTATAACATATGTTCACACCTTTTAATTTGAAAGTCAGAATCAAAATGCAAAAATTTAATTACATGTACTATTAAAAACACGTTTTAGTAGGATTTTTATGATAATGATAATTATCGCCGTTCAATAATTAACGGCCAATTATTCGTTGGTGCGTTTGTTTATTTAAGTGCATTATTTGATTGTGAAACTTTGTTAAATAATAACATGTGTATTAATTAAATCTGAAAAATATTGTTTAATTACATTTAGATGAGGCTTAAATGAACATAGCATTGTTTGGAGTAACGGGCATCACTGGCCTATGAAGTGGTGCGACCGGTAGACGTTGATTTTTTATTTGTTTCTTTATTTTTTTTTTTTTTTGATATTGTTACGTATTTTGAACCATTAAAAAACTCCTCTACACCTCCTGTGAAAATTAAATTGTCTGGTCAATACTTTATTATATTAATATTTCGCTACGATTCAACTAGATTTATCATAATTCTAAAGATGTGGGGAAATGACATCACGCGCACCTGTTTTTATACAGCCAATACACAAACATGGCCGCGCCTACTGATTTGTAGAAATCGGTGATTTAGCGATTTAAATTTTGTTATCATTCGTTTAATATTATTATTTGGCGGCAGAAAATTTGCAGATTTATTATTTATAGTATTCTTTTTCTGAAACCAAGTTTTTATTCTAATCTTGTCTTTCCCTTTAAATCAAATTCTACCGATAAATAAATATATGTTCCTAACTGATCGCTGATTTCGCTAACAGTTTCGAAAACGCCAGAGTCAAAAACATGGATATTATTTGTTATGGCAATTGGATCGAGCAATGTTTGCGTATTTGGAGTAATTCGTGTAGGGCATTCAATAATGTTAATCATGTTATTTACTAAAAGAACATCTTTAAAATTTATGATTTGTTGTATTAATTTGATCTTCATTTTATATCCCCTACAATTATTAAACGCTGGTTATGTTCTAACGCTATTTCTAAACAATTATTTAATTATCCCAAAAGTCAACCTTATAGTGGGGAGGCCTATATATTGTGGCATAATAGATAAGATTGATTTTTATCTTTGAATTCGATCCAAATAGATTCAGGAAGAAGATATTCTAAGTTAAAAAGTCGCCTTGGTCTTTATGAAAGAAGAAACATAAACAAGCAAACCTCCAGAATGGCACGTTAAATCTTTACGATAGAAATTGTCAAAACCCGAAAGTTGTAAATTACTGTCTAAAAAATTTGCATCTAGCTTAGTTTCAGTAAAACACAAAATATCCATATCTGAAAAATTTTCTTTTATATAGTCCAGTTTGTTTCTTATGCTTCTATATTTTGATGAAAAATGGAAAGGCAGTTTTCTTTATTAACGATTGGTCCCGGGTTTAATTCAACATCGCCAGACATAATTATATTTGTTTGTACATGAATTTTGCATACCTTGTCTATATATAATTATAAATATAACAAAAGAGCAGATTTTTTTCTTTAAATGATACATATATTTGGATATTATACTGCATGAATAACAATAGTGTATAATTATAGCATGATAAAGTCACTTCGTAGAAGTGAAACTCTTACCCCTTGTGTTAAAGATCCTGTATTTTGTAATCAAGGATGTAACAACATTCAATTAAGTGTAATTTTATATATGTTTATAATTATTCTTCTAAAACAATTTCCAAACATCCAAGAATATGTTAAATATGTACTGCTAATGTTTAAACGCATTATAAGTAATCTTTAAAATATTTGCATTCATTACTTATTGAAAAATTTGGCTTAGACTTTATCGAAAATAAATTTCAAATTACCTCCCTTTATTTACATGAAATGTTAATTCGGTAATATCTTTACAAATAATGCTTTTGGAACTTACAATATTGATAAATCTTCATTTGAGCATCATATTGATGATATAAAATCATAAGAAATGCGTTACAGGATCTTTAAAGGCATATTATACCTCCTAAATTCATATTCTTTTAAATTCTTTAGAAATGTCAAATATGTGTTTAATAATATTTCAATGATCGATTTAGAGTATGTCGTTGAAGAAAGTAGCACTGAACGTGCAGTTATGTGTCGTAAAATGGTAGAAAAATGTAAAGAAAGTAGTATTTGACTTCCATACAGAATACTAATTCATTATAATTATACAAATTGCCAACAAGGCAAAACGAGTAAAGATAGTTCATCTATATGGCAAATGGGTATTTTGTTGGAAACTCTAACAAGATATCAAAAAATTAAAGTTTTTTTTTGTGAAATAAATTTAGTAGCATTTCTGAGGCATAGTATGCCTTTAACAAAATGGAAAAAAATATGGTGGATATATTTGCCTCCAATGCTATCTTGCCTAGAGGAAAATATTTCTGTTTTTGTAGTTGCACAATTTCAAGGGCATTAAAATTAAAGAAAACTTATTTCTCAGAAAATTAAGAACTTATTCAATTGAATATTATTATATAATATTAAAACAAAGTTTCAACAACGAGAAATATTTTCTTTTTATATAAATAAAAAGAACAAAAAATATCAAATATAAGTTAATCATTGTTTAATATATTTGCTTTTTATAGGCCCACATACGACACATTTAATACGGACTTAGTTTCCAGTGGCTTATAAAATATAAACATTTATACGTCATATATAAAACTCGTTCTAGTTCAGTTCATAAAGTCAAATATACGTTGTAGAATATATGACATTGCTGAATAAATATCTAAAAATAGTATCAGTATCATTCTAGACTTCTAAATGTATTCTTCGTTCAACATTTCATCTTGTCCGTCTTTCTCCTTTTCGTTCTTTTGCTCCAATTCCTCTGAGAATTCTAAGCTGTTTTCATTGCCATCTTTTGTAGCGTGTTCTAGAAACATCTCGATAAAGTCACGTGGTTCAATTTCGACGCTATCGTCATCAGACGCTTGCATGCTGGCTTGCAGAAAGTCTTTGTCATTGAGAAGACTTGTAAGCGCTTCTTCGTCCATGATCGGTATCCTGAAGCAGCCTAATTTCAAATGTACTCGGAACTTCTTAAACTGAAAAAATAATAAAACTATTTTATATTAGACGTTGATAATGGATATATAATGAAGGGAAATAAATGACGCCAATTACTAAACACTATCTTTAAAAGTATTTGTATTCTTATAGAGGAGCGACAAATGGATTCGTGTATTTGGAAAGCAATACCGACACGCCTTCCTTTGCCGTTTTTTTACTTCTCCAATTGCAAATGGTCACCTACCACAACTTCAAATGACTCACGTAACAAAATATTTTGATGTCTTAAAGAAATTAAAAAAAATTAACCTTGATGTACGCATTTTCTTTTAAGTTAATAAATTAATACAATGTTCATTAAAATAAATAAATAAATAAATAAATAAATAAATAAATAAATAAATAAATAAATAAATAAATAAATAAATAAATAAATAAATAAATAATAAATAAAAATAAATGAATGAATAAATGATAAATAAATAAATAAAATAAATAAATAAATAAATAAATAAATAAATAAATAGATAAATAAATTAATTCATAAACTAAAAAATAATAAATAAAGAAAGAAAGAAAAATTATGTAACAAAAAAAAAATAATAATATAAATAAATAAATAAGAACGTACAGTTAGAAAAAAATATATATAATACCTTCAGGTCAAGTACACCAGTCAGCCTGGCACAAATTCTCTTTCGCGACAGGTTGATGTTGTACAGTTGAAGGCATATCTTTGCAAATCTTCTTAAACCAGGCACACCATAACAGAGTGATGGGGGATGTCTCACTGAAAGATAAAGAAAATAAATCACGTAAACATAGTGCTGGGGGACGTCTCACTGAAAGATAAAGAAAATAAATCACGTTGACATAGTGCTGGGGGACGTCTCACTGAAAGATAAAGACAATAAATCACGTTAAAATAGTGCTGGGTGACGTCTCACTGAAAGATAAAGGAAGTAAATCACGTGAACATACTGCTGGGGGACGTCTCACTGAATGATAAAGAAAATAAATCACGTTAAAATACTGCTTGGGGACGTCTGAGTGAAAGATAAAGACAATAAATCACGTTGACATAGTGATGGGGGACGTCTCACTGAAAGATAAAGACAATAAATCACGTTGACTAAGTGATGGGGGACGTCTCACTGAAAGGTAAATAAAGATAAGTCACGTTAACAGAGTGCTCGATTGGTGAAACAATACCCGGTGCTTTTGAGTCCTGAAAAATGAAGTCACAAACCATATGGCATTTCCACGTTGTTTAATCCAAATAATACTTTTGGTGTCTGAAGTTAATTTCACGAATAATGAGCTTGGCAAGTTTGCATATGGTTACTTTAAAATTTTAGACTAAATACATTTCATAAAATAGAAAAAATATATATAAAAAATATACATACATGAGTATTCTTTGTGTAGCAGACGACGTCCGTTCATGGTGAAGGTTATTTCAAAACCGTGATATCTCCGTAAATAAGCCACCTGTAGACAAGCTGAAATTCGATTATACACATTTATATACATTTATACACATTTATACAAATTTATTCACATTTATACACATTTATTATAAAACAATTAAAAATCTAAGTATTGCTCTATTTCGATCGACTATAAAGTATTTAAAGTTGATTGATCATCATGTCTGTTTTACAGCAAGACATATTACAAAATTGTTCCGATGGCTTTGAAAAGTGAATAAGTTTAACTTTATTTTTCGTAATACCAAAAGACGACGCACAAAAGCCAGCCTGTGTCACTAGTTAATATCTAGGCCATCTTGGACATTCGGTTTGAATCATGATCATCCAAACTTCTGGTTGAAATCATGATTCATCGGAACCAGCGGTGCGAATCCTGATTCAATTGAACTTCCGGTTCGAATCCTGATTCATCCGAACTTCCGGTACGAATCATGATTCATCAAAACTTCCGGTGCGAATCATGATCCATCCGAACTTTCGGTACGAATCATGATCCATTCGAACTTCCGGTGTGAATCATGATTCTTCTAAACTTCCGGTGCGAATCATGATTCATCCAAACTTCCGGTGCGAACCACGATTCCTTTAGTAATGTTCACTGCCAAGAGTGTAGCATTTCGATGCTGAATGCTGTCACTCCCCCCTCTTCAACAAACACCAGGCAACACAAAAATGAAAGCAGAACAAATTCAATTTTATAAGCGTATGCAGGTTAAAGGTTAAAATGCTCACGTCACGAAAGACAGACTTACCATGCAGACGAAATTTCACCTTGTGGAAGATAAGGTTGACCTTGAACGTATGATGCAGGCAGCATTTACAACTGTAGTGCCTACAGTGACAGCTGAAGGTCGAATGGCGGTGGAAGCGATGGTGTTGATGATGATGGTGATGATGATGATGGTGATGGCGTTCTATCTCACTTGATTCTAAAATTAGAATAAAAAAGAAATGAAGTGTACCACTAGTTATTACACATAAACGAAAAAACCTTGAAAAAAAAGATAAATAGTTACAATACCCCATGTGTTATATCTATAAATAAACAATAGTTATTATATTCTAATTCAAATACTAGTATGCTAAATGAACAATAGGTATAATATTCTTGTATCATAGTCTGGGGACCTTTCTGTTGAAAATGTGTCAAGAGTTAAATCGTATACATATACATGCACAGTGCGGTAACTGGAGTGCCGGTATCAATTACCCGCACTCCAGATAATGCCAGTTGATTGGTTCATTTTTGCTGGGGTTTACATATTGTGACGGCAGAGAAAGGGAAAGAGGCAGAAATGTCATATTCAAATGCTCGTTCATTGGTTCATTTTTTCTGGGGTTTCGTATTATGACAACAGGGAACGTGCTGTCATGTTTGACTATGATACAAAAGAGAAAGAACACCAAAACACTCGGCAATCTGATTTATACTTGGGGGCTACGCCCCCTCGTACAAATCAGATAGCCTCGTGTTTCGGTGCTCTTTCTATTACTTATTCAAATACTAGTATGCTAAATGCAGTCCTCTCATTGCATATTGAAAACTACCAACATTGTCAAGTTTTTCAAGAATTATTATAATCATAATAAAAACATTATTCTGCTCCAAGTGGGGTTCTTACTTATTAAATCTGAAAGAGCAGAGTCTCGACCCCGCACCGCATCAACAGGACAATCTAATATAAAATAAAACCATGTAATACTTAAATAAAAATGACACACTAGTATGTGGCCAAACGGAAGGGTAAAAAAAATGGGAACATTTCCCCCTGGTCGAAGGACAGGGATTATATTTCGACAACCGTGATAGCTATAAATTCTGGCCTACCAGCAGGACGTTTTATCAGACCAAGTTTGTCTGCTAAAAATTCCAAATCGAGTTCATCATCCGGGCCACCAGGCAAATTAATGACGTCATCATCTTCTATTTCACTCTCAGTGTCTCCATATGGCTCCGTTTCAATGTCTGTAAAAATTCAAAAAGTGGTGTTTTTTAATTGTTTACATTTTATTTAAATTTCAATGTACAACCGTAGCTACAGTAAAAAATCTTAAGACAACAACAAACAATTGTCTCAAATTTAAAAATGACTTTACCGTGACCTCGTGAATATTATGATATCATATGTTTGCGGATTTTTTCCTTCCAATATTCAAAGGAACTACACTGAGGTCCATAAGCCTAAAATCATGAAATTTTGAATTTCCTACAAAGATTACCTTTGGCACTTTAAACAGAAATACATACATAATTAAACATTATACAAAAACAAAATTGTAAATCGTATTTGTGTGCTATTCTTGGCCCGTTTTTAGTGAAAAGCGTTGTAACGCTTTTCTAATTTAGCTAATTTTTCACGGTTACAATAACATATTCTGGAAAAACAGAGCCAGCAAATGATCTGAAATTTTGCACACAAGTTAATAGTCTAGACCTACATCAAATGGAACAATCTCTAAAAGTAAATTCAATTCCCGAATAACAAATCCAGTGAAGTCCCTTTAACACGGGCACCAACATTCTATATTTCACTTGATCAGTTTCAAATAACATGATATGATTTATATTTCACCGATTAATAGTGTGTCTAATCGAAGATCATGTTTTCTTTTATTTTCACTATTTTTTCAAATCTAATTTTTCTTGCAAACTTTTTTTTCACCTAATTTATGATGGCTTAAAATCTTTTCTTTACTTTTTTTTCGTTTGAATATTTATCTCACAAAGATTTTCGAAATAATAACGTAATAAATTGTCCTTTCTTGTTAGTATGTCTTTATACAACCAATGCTTTTAAAGATCCTTTATGTTCTGATCAAAGTGGTAAACCACACTAAATGCAATTATATGTAAGTAGAAAATTATGCAAAGAAAACTATTTTTAAACATCGAAGAATATGTAAAATATGTACTTCAGATATTTGTGCGTGCGCATATTATATGTAATCATTAAAATATATGCATTCATTTCTTATTGTAAAATTTGACTTAAACTTAATTGAAAATAAAAGTTTTATTGCCTCCCATTATTTACATGAAATGTTAAATTTGGTAATATCTTTATAAATAATGCTTTTTGGAATCTACAATATTGATAAATCTTAATTTGAGCATCATATTTATGATTTAAAACCTTAAAGTGACATTATGCCCATCCATGGGTAGATATAGAGTGAATTAACAGGTGACAGTCAAAATAAGTTAACATTTTCCCATAATTCATTTCAATTTTATAATTTACTTCACATGAACGATAAATAACTCGCTAGGCCCTGTGAAATGTGTGTAATTATCCGTCGGAATGTATCTGTAACTTTCAATTTATAAAAGAGTGGGGCAGTCTTTTTATATATTTAGGTAGATTTATTTTTTACCCTTAACATTTTCAAATATCATGTGTTGGTCAATCACCATTATAACGACCAGTTTACTGAAATATATAGTCAATTTAGGTCAGTTTGACAATGAAAATAATGAGCATAATGTCACTTTAAGAAATTTGTGTTACAGGATCTTTAAGCCGTATATGTTATAATGTACACATTATTAGCAAATAAGCAAATTTGCTATCAGAAATAGTGTCAACATGATTTTTTATTTTATTTTATTTTTTTTGACACGAAAGGACTAAGAATATTTTTTCGAGACTTGTATACCATTGTATCCTCCCACGTATTTAACCAGAATTTCATTTTTTATTATGCATAAAACCAAAAACTAAAAGAGTTGAAAACGCTTTTCTCAAAAATAGGGCTTAGAATCGCACTACAAAACGATATTTAATTTAATTATTGAGCATATATCTTAATTATCTTTTGCTGATTTGTTTTCCAGTTTTAATTTCTTCAATTTTTTAATGTAAGAATTTCAAATTTCATGTGTTTTTCATGTTTTGTCGTCAGAAGAGATCCTTCACTTTTTTATAGTAATTATTTATCAATAGTAAGTGCCTCTTGGTTAAATTACGTTTCTGAAATCATGACAACATTTTTACAACTTTTTAACTATAATAACTATTCAAAATTCTGGGGATGCGCTACTGTAAAATAATTACCTGTTACATAATCTTTGATAAGTTCAAAGAATTCGGCGTTCGTGATTAAACCTGTATCCAAATTCTTAGCACGCGCCGGCGCAACAACAATCGCACAGCAGAGCAAAATTAAAGCGCGCATGTTCGACGTCCGACACAAGCTATTAACCGATTTTTCGCTGCTTTCTATATTTATATATTTTCACCATAAAGTGTCCGGAAAATGAAAGTCAGACAACAATAGCCAATACATGTCATTACTTAAGACAAGGGATAGTTATCTCTTTTTCCAATCACATACGTGCAAAGATAAGTATCTAACCCTATACGTTTGCATGATCTTAAAGAAATATCAAGAAATGATAGACAGATGAGTAAATACGGTATAAGAAATTGAAAAACCCTGAAAAAAGACAATGACGAGTTTAATCGTTTGAAAATTAATTTAGTTTGTGTGCTACTCACAATTTTTTTGATTAATTTTTTGCTTGAAAGATAAAGTATCTGTCAAAATTATCATTTACAGATGTATTACATTAAAAAAAAAGATCGTGATAAAAACATATATGTTTTGAGTGCATGTATGTTTTCATAAAAGACGGAAAAAAAGTTTTTCAAATAATTGATTTATTCAGAAAAATTGCTACGTTTTGGTCGACCTTTAATGTATATATTTAATGAATATATATATACGAAACAACAGTTACGTTCGCATTCACCTCATATTGTAAACCCGGAGTCGATCTTTATCGGTTATTGATAATCAATTGTTTGACGGGCGAGTCGGTCACTACAGAAGGGTGCCGCTTAAGTAGTTATGTCCTCATTAATTTGAATGAAACTTGACTTTATAATACGTTTCGGAACGATTAATAAAGGGGAAAGTCAATATAAGTACATATTGAGCCGCGCCATGACAAAACCAACATATACAGTGCGTTTGCGACCAGCATGGATCCAGACCAGCCTGCGCATCCGTGCAGTCTGATCAGGATCCATGCTGTTCGCTATCAGTTTCTCTACTTGTTATAGGGTTTGTAAGCGAACAGCATGGATCCTGATTAGACTGCGCGGATGCGCAGGCTGGTCTGGATCCATGCTGGTCGCAAACGCATTATGTTGGTTTTGTCGTGACGCGGCTCATATTTTATAAATGCCGGCAGTGGAAGGTAAACAACTGTATGATATACATGTACCTACTGATATATCAAATATTGCTTAGTTTAAACAAATTTATTTCATCTCGATTGTGATAAAAACGAACTTCTTTCAACCAAATTATACAAAACATGGTCGCGACCCGATTTGGGCTCGAACCCATAAACACTCGGTTGGGAGGCAGATCATGATCAATCACAACGAATGTGACCTGCGCCGTCCGGGAATCGAACTGGATCGCTCGATTCATAGTCCAACACTCTACTTTTGAAACTATAAATTTAATTATCCTTATTCATGCAACTTATCAGCACATAGTTTTCGGGGATTGACATCAATCACTCTAAAGGTAACTTACATAGCGTGAAATGTCCTAGCCAACATTGCAACAATGATACACCAAAAATAGTAGTATCAAATGTATGGAACTATGTCTGGTGAAATATTTTATTTAAAAAAAAAAACTACAACAAAAAACAAATCAAAACAAATACAAACAAACAAACAACAACAACAAAACAACGATAAAATAAGGTTGTTTTTATAACCATATGGGTGTTTCTTGAAAAACATGTAGCATGTAAAGTATAAGTGAATTCATATGTATACAGGAGTATTATACAAAAACAGAAGAAAAATGTTCTGGAACAAAATATATCTCTGCTATCTATAATGGGTTTGACAATGATTTTTTCACATGCCTCACACACTTTCAAATAAATGTACTGATATAATTCTTTCATTCTGTGCATGCCGAAATAATTTAAATTCCATTTTAAATAATAATGTCACAATCCATAGGCAGTAAATTTATAGTTTTAAAGCAGTTTTTTTTTTTCTGTTGTAAAAACAATTCTTTGCTGTTTCAAACTAAGTTTTTTCAGTTATTTTATATTGTAAAAACCACACAACCAAAGCACCATCTGTCAAAACCACAGTACCATTTATCAAAACCACATCACCATTTATCAAAACCGATCCACCATATTTCAAAACCCATCACCATTTATCAAAACCACATCACCATTTATCAAAACCGAGCCACCATATTTCAAAACGACAGCACCATTTATCCAAATTACAGCACAATTTATCAAAAGGACATCACCACTTTAGAAATATAAGGCAGCTATGGCGTTCCATAGGGAAGTGCGGCGGAATTTGACAAAAAGCACATTTCTCAGTGTATAATTGTTCTCGTATTTACACAAAATAGTTTTACATAAAATATGAATATCGAATTCGTATCTGCATTATTTAATTGTTTATATTATCAGAATGCATTGGTTTAATCAACTTCTGATTGATGTTGCAGTCCCTCTCTTATTCTGTATAAAACCATGAATTATTTCAAAAATGAAAATAATCGAAACTGAAACCATTTAATATATAACTTTGTACGGGCCATCTAAAGATCAAGATATTTTTAAGTTCGGCCAACTTGGTCATTTTCCGTATGATAAATGTTGTATTCGGTGAACGTCGTCACTTTCCGGATGATAAATTTTGAACTTGGCTTCTATGATAAATTTTGAATCCGGTGAACTTCGTCACTTTCCGTATGAGACATTTTTTTCGTCAATAGCGGAATAAAATATTTACCAATCCGGTCAACTTCATCGTTTCACCGTTAATATGTTATTAAATTATGACTACTTTAATTCAATTTTGTCAACTTCGCCTCTTTCCGTATACATTGTTTTTTCAAACTTCTGTCAACTTCGCCTGTTTTCGTTTTGGATAATTCTAAAAATTGTTTTAGTTCGATTGTGTTAAGTTTGGTTTAAACATTTTTATTAAAGCTCGATTGTGAAAAACAAGTTCTTGCACTTTATATTAATCACTTTCGAGTCCGTTTCTTGACCAACTGTACTGGTGTCTTATGAAGAAACATGGTCGTGACCATGGGCTCCAACCCATGATCCCCTGTGTTGAGAGACAGACACCTTACCCACTAGGCTACCGCTCTCCTTAATTATGTGGAAGCTTTAAGCTTATATTCACACTCTTAAATCCGCCCCTGGAACCCAACCAGTTCTGAGCAATGAGATTTTCTTTTGCTTAAGGAAACAACGGCTCGCCCGTTTATGGGGTTTGAACCCAGGCGGATGGCGGCCTCAGAATTACTAGTCCTATGCGTTAACCGGCCGGTCACGCGTTTATTAATGACCCTGTTTTTAACGTGATGGTCTGTAGCAAAATCTAACATTGTTGTTAATCATGTACAATACCATGTTTATATTTGCATTTCACAATTTTTTCAATTCTTAAAAAACAACAAGAGACCTTCTACATTTATAATTTTTGTATGAATAAATATAGAAGTATTACACTGTTGCTGAAGTTTTCAGGAATGAAATTCCCGGTTTTTCTCCTTTAATATTATGGTTTTCATAATAATTACGGAGGACAACAGTCAACGCTTCGCGTTTTCAATATCAAGGAGTACAATCGGGTTTTTAATCGTTATAATTGGTAAAATTCGAAAAGTTTGGAATGTTGTAATTTTTGGTAATTTCGGACGAAAGTTTTGTCAAAAAACCAAACACCTAGCCAGGGTACTGGCCGTTTAAACCGTATAAAGCTCGGCTTTTGGGCGAGCAGGGCCCCTTCCTGGGGTTAGTAATCTCGAAGCTATCGTTAGCATAACGACTATCGTATACCTCTCGTTAAGCACTCATTCTCACTTAAGTACGACATTTCATAAATTCTAGAACTGAAAAATGAACTTTCTTGTATATTAAAATTTTATTCCATTCCAAAATTATAAGTATCTCGACATCTTAAATATAAAATATTACCAGTACAGATGTCCTTAGATTTTCCCTATGACAGGTTTTCTAGATAGAACACAAAATAAATTTCGTCATTTTCGAGACCACTGGTCCATAAATTTGTGCATATGGTATGGCGATTTCATTTTGTCTCTTTAAATAAATTTTCTAGGGCATCTATTTATGATGAACATCTGGAAATGAGAATCAATCATTGAACTGACAAAAAATACATCATTTTAAAAACAAATCATGGAAATGCATTTTATATCGAATATGCTTAAATCTCATTTTCAAAATGAATAACCTTACAAAATCCACAGATCCATACAATGGACGAGTAAGAAAATGTGAAAATTACTGACGAATTCTTAGAAGTACCTACTTATTTATTATTCAATTGTCAAGTGTGAAATAATTTACGACATCTCATATATTGATAATTTATTAAAGACTCGTAAATGATTTTTCAATTGTCCCGTAAGTGACCCAGTCTCCAGATGCTATGGATTGACAGAAAGAACTGTAAATACTTTGAATTATATATTTATTTAATGATTGAAGATTAACTTATATTTATTTATGAAATGGAGCAGATATTCTTTGGCAAGGTTGGGCTTTATTATCAATATTTAAACAATTGAACTGAAAAATAGTAAATAAATGAGTAAGAGATTCGTATAAATGGACTTAGAAGTTCAACAAAATCGCTAGATTTGCATAAAAATCCAAGTTTTAGTGTAAACGAAACAACTAATAGTACGGAATCAAAACAAACATTTTTTCTAATAGAAATATCACAATCATTGAGAAAATCACTGTTTTATAATTTTTCTTTCGCTCTGGTCATTTACGGGACAAGTCAATCTTATTACTATTATCTTATAATTGAACTGCAAAACAATGTACAGTATGTTTGTTTAAACAGATATTAAGTATCTAGATAAACTAAAATATTTTATATCAAGATGCATGAAAAGTCATTGTCCATTTAAATGAAACATCTATGAAAATGTAATAAGGTTTCAGAATGTATTTAATTAAGGACAAATTACTAGTTTGTTCTCACTATATCTTGCTCCAAAGAACCTTCTATCTTACAATTAATACAAGATACTCCAATATTATTGCGCGTTTTCATTGAAATGCGTGGACTTCAAAATTTCCTATTACTCGAATGAATATTCAAAAATTAATTTTTACCATTTACGGGACAGTTCAGCCAGATACGGACACGCGCTGTTTTC